CCCCAAAACCCCAAAACCCCAAAACCCCAAAACCCCTAAAATATTTCAAAAGTTTGAAAATAGATATTTGCAATTTTAGCAAGAATTAGATTGGGTTACCTAGTTTCTCATGATGATTATTGGTTAGCACATTCCATTCTGTGGCCTCCTCCCATTCCTGGATGTCCATCTTCCTCCTCGGAGTCTGCTCCCTGAGTTCCTCCCTCAACATGAGTGTTCCTATGATCTTCATTATATTTTTCAAGTTGAGCTTCAGTGTCAAAGGCGTCATTGGATTTCTTTGGTGCCTTCAGAATTTTAGTCAATTGGGTAACCTGATCATCCTTTAATGTTTCTGGGAATTCAACTGAGAACAAGATGAACATGTGTCCGAATTCATAACTGTTCTTATGGAAAGGAAGTCCCATCTCCTTCAAGGTCATGAGAGATTTTGGTTTAATCACAGCTCCCTTTGGACTTGTCACTCTAACTTTCTTTCCATCAAGATGCTTGAAAGTAAAATCAACTCCAGTCAGGGCTTCAGCCAAAGTAATTTTCTTTTCAAATAGCAAGTCAGCTCCTCTTCTCTTGAATGTTTTATGTTCTTGCAAGTCAACGACAACGACTACATCTCCAGTCTCAGCTCCTGGGAATTCATCTCCTTCACCATGGAAGACATATTTATCTCCATGTGGGGATCCTTTATCAATAGTCACTTCTATAATTTTAGTGTCCTTTTTAGTGCTGCCAGCTTTAACTCCTTGACCTCCACAGTCTTCACATGGACCAGTTCTTTGAGTATACATACCTGGTCTGATCTGAGTCATAGTAGTCTTCATTCCTTGGCCGTGACATCCCTCACAAGCAGATGGAGTAGCCTCTTCTCCTTCTTTCTTAACAATCTTGTCTCTTGTTACCTTAATCTTTGTCTTCTTTCCATTGTAAATATCTTCAAGAGTACATTTCATTTTATGGACAGTTGGTTGGACTCTTCTCTTTTCAGAATGGCCTCTTCTGCCACCACCTCCAAAGAGATCGAAGATGTCTCCAAAGCCACCTGGGCCACCAGGACCTCCCTCTTCAACTCCTTCAGCACCGTACTTGTCATAAAGGTCTCTCTTCTTGGGATCGCTCAAGCATTCATAAGCCACTGAAATATCTTTGAACTATAATAAATCGATGTTAGAAGAACCTAATTTTGTGAAGAAATAGTCTAGCAAGCTGCTTTCATGAAAATATTTATTTCATAGAAAGCTGGTAACTATCTTCTAGAATTTTCAAGAATGAAAAGAATATACTGGAAGATGCATTCTCGAAGATGACATCTGATACTTTCCAAAAATTTTAATACTATTTCAACCGGTTTGAAAATTGCATTAGTTTTTACCTTATCAGGGTCTCCACCTTTATCAGGGTGTTCCTTTAGAGCTTTCTTTCTGTAAGCCTTTCTAATCTCGTCTTGGGTAGCTTCCTTGGAGACTCCAAGGACATCGTAGTATTTTTGCGTGTCTACATCTTTCTTTGGTCCAGGTTCTCTTTCGCCACCTATAAAATCACTATGGAAATCGTCCTCAAAAGGGAAAGAGTCTCTGCAGAAAAACATATTGAATCGTATCTTAGCAATGGAGTTGAGGGTGAAGTAATCCGTAGCCCCTAATTATTCAAAACCTTCTTTTTGGTATTTTACCGGGTTATTATTGACAGATTTTGCTCTTTTACTAATATATCAGAGAAATAATGCTTTTAACAGCGGCTTGGATAAGTTGGCGTGATAGAAGTCTTAATACTTACCTGGGAATCCACCTCCGAATGGGAAGCCACCGCCTCCTCCTCCAAAATCAAAGAATGCCATTTTTATTACTTTACTAAATATTTAATAATATGAGTCTAAAATTTTCTTAAGTAATTATTAAATGGAATTTACCTTCTAGAAGCCGTAATTACACACATTGCAATTTTTCGTGCTTTTATGGGGTTTTGGGGTTTTGGGGTTTTGGGGTTTTGGGGTTTTGGGGTTTTGGGG